AATTTCCAATGGAGTTTTTAAGTATCTCTTTATTTTCCTTCTCCCAGTATAATTTCCATGAGGTGAGAAATTGGTCTGTTTTATTAAGCAAGTCTCTTCTGGGCCTAAACAGGGTCTTACATAGGCTGAGTACTGAATAAAACTTTGTTTCAAAAAACAGAATGAAACATTTCTGGCCAAGGTGGAGGGGTAGGTAAACACACTGTGCATCCTTGCACAACAAAAAAAGGACAACAGCAAATTAAAAACAAACAAACAAAACCCAGTACTGATAAAATTGAATTGTATGGAAGTCTGACAACCAAGGAGTTAAAGTAGACACATTCATCCTGACCAGTAGGAGGGGGTGAGTTAGGGAGCCGGATCAAGAAGGCTTGAGGGTAGGTGCCTAGCAGACTCAGTAAAGTGGTGGATAGTGGAGGGCTGCGGCGCTCAAGGCTGCTGGCAGGCTGGGTGGTCCAAAGTTCCAGCGTAGATAAACCAGGCAAAACTGGGGAGCGAGAAAGACCAAACAATCCAGGGTCCCAGTGCAGAGACATAAAGCCCCAAAACACTGATTGAAAACATCTGTGGGGGTTGAGGTGACAGGAGAAACTCCAAGCCTCACAGGAGAGTTTGTTGGAGAGACCCACAGGGTCCCAGAACATACACAAACTCACCCTCATGAGAATCAGCACCAGAAGAGCCAATTTGCTTGGAGAAAGTGGTGGAAGAGACTGAAATTCAGCTGAGAGTACAGCAAATGCCATTGTTCCCTCTCACCTCTTCTCCACATACAGCATCACAACACAGCAATCTGGGTTATCTGCCCTGGTGAACATCTAAGGCTCTGCTACTCACTGCATAAGAGGTGTGTCAGGAAAAAAAGTGGCCCAAAGAAAAGAACAGATAAAAGCTCCAGAAAAAAATACAAGTAAATAACAAAATGATAGCCAATTTATGAGATGCACATTTTAAAACACTGGTAATCAGAATCTCACAGAATTGCTTGAATTTGGTTGCAAATTAGATGAAAAACTGAAGGCTACAATTGGGGAATTAAAGGAAAATGTACAGGGAACTAATGGTGATGGGAAGGAAATTGGGACTCAGATCAATGTAGTGGACCAGAAGGAAGAAAGAAAAATTCAATCAGAAAATAATGAAGAAACAAGAATTTAAAAAAATGAGGACAGGCTTAGGAACCTCCAGGACATGTTTAAAAGTTCTAACATCTGAATTATAGGGGTACCAAAATGGAGGAGAAAGAGCAACAAGTGCAAAAGTATTTGAAAAAATAATGAAGGAGAACTTCCCCAATCTGGCAAAGGCAATAGACTTCCAGGGAGTCCAGGAACCTCAGAGAGTCCCAAAGAAAGTGGGCCCAAAAGGAACACATCCAAGCACATCATAATTACATTACCGAAGATTAAAATGAAGGAGAGAATTCTAGTAGCAGCAAGAGATAAGGAGACAGTCACCTATAAAGGACTTACCATCAGACTGTCAGCTGGTTTCTCAAAAGAGACCTCACAGGCAAGAAGCGGCTGGAAAGAACTATTCCAACTCATGAAATGCCAGGACCTACATGCAAGATTGCTCTATCCAGCAAAGCCTTCATTTAGAATAAAAGGGCAGAAAAGTGCTTCTGAGATAAGGTCAAGTTCAAGGAGTTTACCATCACCAAGCCCTCATTACATGAAATGTTAAAGGGATTTATCTAAGAAAAAGAAGATAAAAATACAGGTACAGTAAAATGACAGCAAACTCACAATGATTAACAACCACACCTAAAATAAAAACAAAAACAAACTAAGCAAACAACTAAAACAGGAACAGAACCGCAGAAATGGAGATCACATAGAGGGTTACCAGTGAGGGACTGGGTGGGGAGAGAGGGGGAAAAGGTACAGAGAACAAGTAGCATAAATGGTAGGTAGAAAATAGACAGGGGAAAGTAAGAATAGTATGGGAAATGTGGAAGCCAAGAACCTCTAAATAGGACATATGGACATGAACTACAGTGTGGGAATGTGGGTGGTAGAGGGTGTTTAAGGTGGAGGGGTGTGAAGGAGGAAAATGAGACAGCTATAATAGAATAATCAATAAAATACATTTTAAAAAGTGTAAAACAAAACTCTATTATTTATTATCATTACTTTACCTTGTAATAAAAAAGATCTTTAAAAGTTGGTTGTAGAGTTTTTAGACAAATGAAAGAGAGGAAGGCAAAAAATTATGAAATGATGTAGAAGTTCCAGAAAAAGTTAAAACAAAAAAACAGCAAATTGCGGTGAAATTCTCAAACTTCACATAAGCACCTAACCTGGTAAACTAGTGGCATCTTCAGAGACATTGGTAGCAGAGTCCCATAGAATGCTGGGCCTACTGCATGCAGTTCTTTGTTCACCACTCATGTTGTTTTCAGAAATGGATCCCATGGAAAGTTCAAAATCCCAGTGAGTGCTCTGTGGCCTCTGGAAAGACTGGAGTCCCAAAATCCATCTGAGGAATTTGTTTTTCTTTCCTTTGTCCTTGAATTCCACCCTTTCAGTTTTCATCTAAGTCAGTCATAGTTTCCGTGGGCGTAGGGTCCTGTGGATGACCCGTTTCAGTGCAGCCTTCACTTCACTGTTCCTTAGGCTGTAAATGATGGGGTTCAACATGGGAGTCACCACCGTGTAGGAGAGTGAGAGCAGCTTCTTGTTCTCAGGAGAGGTGCTGGACCGGGGCCGGAAGTATGTGAGGATGGCAGTGCTGTAGAAAAGGGAGACAACCAGGAGGTGGGAGGAACAGGTGGAGAAGGCCTTGCGTTTCCCTTCAGCTGAGGGCATCCTGAAGATAGTGGAGAGGATGCGAACATAGGACCCCAGGATCAGCAAGAAGGGGAAGAGGATGAAGAGAACAGTGGCTGTCAAAGCTTCCAGTTCAAACAGCGAGGTATCAGCACAGACTAGGGCTATGACAGGGGGACTGTCACAGAAGAAGTGGTTCACCCTGTTGGGGCCACAGAAAGGAAAGCTGAAAATCCATGTGGTTTGTACAGTGGCCACTGGAAACCCTGAGAACCAGGACGCAGCTGCCAGCTGAGCACAGGCCCTGTGTCCCATGATGACTGGGTAATGCAAAGGGTCACAGATGGCCACATAGCAGTCATATGCTATTGTGGCCAGGAGGCAGCATTCAGCAGCCCCAAAGAAGAAGAAGAAATACATCTGAGTGGCACAGCCAAGGAAGGAGATGGTTGTGTCTTGGATGATCAGGGCCCCCAGCATCTTGGGCACAATGACCAAGTTGAAACCTATCTCCAGGAAGGACAAGTTCCTAAGGAAGAAGTACATAGGACTTTGTAGTGCAGAGTTAGCTGTGGTGACCAGGATGATAAGGACCTTGCCCATTAGGGTAACGATGTAAATGGTCAAGAAAAGGAGAAATAGCAGAGCTTGTAGCTCAAAAGACAAGGCTGAGAAACTCACAAGAACAAACTCACTGACACTTGTCCAGTTTCCCCACATCATTTTCCTGCCCAGGATTCTGCCAGGCATTCATGCTCTGGGAAGAACTCTCAGTATGTTACATAGCCCTCTCTTATACCCTTGGAAATGGGACCTCCTGTGGCCTCATTCTCCACCTCTCTTGTTATGGTTGTTGAAGATCAAACAGCTGTACTTTCAAAAATGTGAAAAACGAGTCTGACTATGGGATTCACATTTTGGGGGGGAAAACACTAGCCTGTTTTTCAGACTGAACTGAGGCACACCATAGATGTGCATACATACACATCTCCTGACTTTTCTCATTTCTTTAGCACCAGTCACTGGTGGTAAAAAGAAATGAGGCCAGGCCAAGCATTTCTGAAGACACAGATCTTGAGGCACAACAAAAGGTATTGACATGAATCAGTATATGTTTTCTACAAAGTAAAAGGGTGGGAAAGAGAAAAGCAAAGGAAGTGAGGCAGCAGTTACCAACGATCCCCCAGGAGGAGTCCTGAATGCGTGCCAGTCTCCAGCAGCTTGCACTCAGGAAGATTTCAGCATATTGGAGGAGTGTTCATTGTAAACTCAGACAATTGCAGTGTAAACAAGAAGACACACAATACAGAAACTGTGGTTTATTTTGATCCCTGGGCTAAATATTCTCCATGTGGCTACACATATATTTGTGATCAGACAAAGGGAAAACAAACTCAAGGTCTGTTTAAAATATTATGGAGTAGTTTAAGCCTCAGATATATGGTTGGATTAGAAGACTGTTGAATTCATTTTTTACTCCATCTGATACTCCATAATTACATGAAGAAATTTGGGTGATACTACTAAATAACTTTTTCTGGAGGTTTCAGGAGAGAACATTATGAACGATCAAATATGATTAACTCTAGTACTTTTTACAAAGTGAAATATTATGGTATATGACCCCAGCAGTAAAAACTCTTTTAGATATGTTGACTGTTTTACTCAGAGCCTCTTCCTAGGTTTGTATGACTGGGACATCCAAACTTGAAGCATCTTTGATATGAGAATCATGCAAGCATTCATATTTCTGGATAATCCAGTTTAAACCTCCTAGATTCCATTGTAACCATGAGTAAAACAAGTTCACATTAGATGAATTAACCATAAACTTCTTCAAGATAAGATGACAGTTTTCATATTCAGAATATAATCTACCTTTTCATTCTTTTATTTCCCCCCTGTGTCATAGCTTAGAGTGCAGTATTCACAGTTTCTAGAACATGTCCTTTACATTCATACTTTTTTTTAAAGCTTTAAAATATTTAATTTATTAATTTTTAGACAGAGGAGAAAGGAGGGAGAGAGGGAGAGAAACATCAATGTGTGGTTGCCTCTTGCATACCCTTCACTGGGGACCTGGCCAAACCCAGCCATGTGCCACAGCTAGGAAATGAATGACCAACCTTTTGGTTTGCGGGTTGGAACTTAATCCACTGAGCAACACCAGCCAGGATGTCATGCTTTTTTTTTTTTTTTTGAAATGACCTAATTAATAACTCTTTATCAAAGTCCTGCTCCTCTGCTAAGGATGTTCCCATAGCTCAGAAAGTGACACCTAGAGGTCACTGCTTGTGAGAAAAAACTCTTTCTAGTTAGTTTTTTGAGAGCCCCTTTGACATCCTTGTTTCTCAGGCTATAAATGATGGGGTTAAACATTGGTGTCACCACTGTATAAAAGACAGATATCATCTTATCCCCCTGTTTTGTGGTCTCGGAGTTGGGACACAAGTAGGTGAATATTCCTGACCCATAGAAAAGAACAACGACAATGAGGTGGGAGCCACAGGTAGAGAAAGCCTTGAGCCTGCCCTCCCCGGACTGCATCTGGATCACAGTGGAGATAATGTGCCAGTAGGAGACAAGGATCAGGGAGACAGGAGCTAGGAGGATGACCACACCCATTGCAAAGATGGCCATTTCTGTGCTGTAGGTGTCTGCTGAAGCCAGCTTCAGGAGAGCAGGAGGTTCACAAAAGTAGTGATTGATAATGTTCTGTCCTCGATAGGGAAGTTGGAAGGTAAAGGTGGTGTCCACCAGAGACACTACTGTCCCACTGGCCCAGGATGCTATGGCCAGCTGGAGACACACCTGTGGTGTCATGATGGTGGAGTAGTGCAGGGGCTTGCAGACAGCCACATACCGGTCATAGGACATCACTGCCAGCAGTGCACACTCTGTGCACCCAACCAGAAGGAAGGCAATTATCTGTGCCACACACCCTCCAAAAGAAATAGTTTTCCTATTTACCAGGAAGTGGACCAACACTTGAGGGACAATGCTAGTAGAGAAACAAAGATCTGTGAAAGAGAGGTTTCTAAGGAAAAAATACATGGGTGTGTGAAGCTGAGAGTCCATGGAGATGAGAACGATGATAAGGAGGTTTCCAAGCACAGTCAACAGATAAATGATGAGGAAAAGAATAAACAGCAGGATCTGTGTGTGCAAGTCCCGTGAAAGGCCGAGGAAGATGAACTCAGCCACAAAGGTTTGGTTTTCTTCTCCCATTGAGAGTGATGCCTATTTACCTGTTTGGCACCAACAACAAGGAAAACTTCGGGTTTCCAATGTCAAGTCCTGTCGAAGAGGCTCATTTAAAACTGACACCTAAGTGCATATTTGTAGCTCTTTTGCTATCCAGCTTGTTCTAATTAATGCTAAATATAACATTTTTATTCTTATTAGCTGGTTATAATTTTTTGCAATAATTTATTTATTTTTGGAGAAAGGGAAAGGTAGGGAGAAAGAGAAGCATCAATGTGCAAGAGAAACACTGATTGGTTGTCTCTCATATGAGGCCTGAGCAGCACTGTGATCAGGAAAACCAAACCACAGCCCTGGCACGTGCCCAGACTTGGACAGATCTGGCAAACTTTTTCCTTGTGGGACAATGCCCATCAACTAAGCCACACGGGTCAGGGCTGTGGTTGTAATTTAAATCCATGTACAGACTGCACAGCAAATATAAAGAACAGTCTATCTCTCAGAGGTAGGATTTGAGCGCTTATGTACACATGTGTATATAAGAGCATAAGGAAGAAGATGATTTAATCCCCAGAGAGAAAAGGAGAGTATCAAATGAGTAAGAAATGAGTGAAGAAGGAGGTAAAAAGATGAACTGTTGTACATTTACATTCCAAGAAAGGCCAAGAATAATTATTCATTCTTTTGTACTCCAAGGATTTCATCTATCAACTTTACTGATTAATTCAACAGGATGTCTCTTTATGTAATACGGGCAGAAGATGAGGAACAAAAACTAAGAATGGTTAAAATAGAATAAAGAAAATAGAAGTTAGAAGAAAGCAGGGTCAGAAAGCTGGGCACAAAGATGTGGAGAAAAGCAGAAGGAAGAGGACATGCAGGAAGAGATCTATGAGTCTGGCCATTTTCCCATAACCAAAAGTGTGAGTAATTCGTCTTTTATCTCTCTGAGGCCCTAACTACATTGTGACCAATATGGCCTTTCCAAAAATCTCCTCATAATGACTGTGATACACATAACTGCATACATGTGGATTATTGTTCATACACACCTCATGCTGCACACAAACCATATGCAACAGAAACATGTACACATCCACACATCATGGATATACTCACATAAGTGTTTCAGATTCTTATATGTGACCCTCATGGGCACCAGATCTTTCACAGTAACAGAAGGAGTCACAGAGCAGATACTTGGTTACTGAGCCAATTGGATACTGGCCCAGGCTGGGTATATGGGAACCCACCATGCCTGGCTTGTAGGGGGAGGTCGTTGCAGTATAGGGTGTGGTATGGTGGCACCAGTGCTGGAGGTCAGTGTCCTCCTCTGGACTAGATGGACAGCACTGATGTCACAGGACACCCTTTCCTCCACCTGCTTTTACTCACAAAGGGGCTGGAAGCAGCAATGCCAGCATTCCCAGAACAGTGTCCCATTCAGTCCTGGTTCCCTCACATCTCCTAGACTCAGAGCCTGCTCAAGATCAAGAGGCTCTTGATGAGGTTCCTCAAAGTAAGGTTCCTAGTTTCCTTCAGGTCCTCTGCCTGTTCAGTGGGAAATGAGGGAACAAATGCCAACTGAGAGGAACTATGCAAACAGAAGGGTTGACAGCAGAGGGCGTGGGAGGCAGAGTCAGGCAGAGTGGGATGTTTCTGGAAACAGCCTCATCCCTACGAAGAGAGTCTGGAAGAGGATTTTAGGTTGGGTTCTAAAGAAGAATGGAAATAGATCTGCTGTGTCTGAGAGATTGGCAAGGAATAAGTTGAGGGACACTAGGAGAATAAATGACAAAGTCCATCTTTCCCAACACCATTTCCAGTCCCCACCAACCCCCCAGTCAATATTGCAGAATCCTTCACACTGAGGCTCAGCAGCAGCTTTCCCACTCTCACCTGAGGGCAGAGAGCAGGCCTGAGGAGTCATTGGTTTAGGAATCCAGGGTGGAGTGTGGGATGGTGTGGTTTCTGCACCCTGCAGAGATCCACTCTGGAAGGACAGCGCCATCTGTAGGCTGGCTCCTAAGCAGTGCCTCTCAAGGTCTGCACCAGAGTCATCCTAGGAGTGTGACTTCATCCCAAGCCTTTTTTCCTTGTTTGATTGAAGGTACAAACTCCAATTCTCCTAGATCCCAGTTGTGAACAGCAGATTTTCCTTCACGGGAATATTTGAAGGTGCACTGCTGAGAGTGACATAAATGAGGGATTCCCTTGGGGATTTAACAGCCCTCCATTTTATTATCTTTCCATCCTCTGAGACATCCTAGGGCACTTAGTGTTACATTTGAAATCACAGACTGAAGCCTCTACATCTTTCAACTGTAAACCAATGTCATTCAAATGACATCAGCAGATATATTCCCAGAGGTTTACAAGGTTCACAAGTTATCACACTTGTGTTTTCATTTACATGGTGATTAAATAAAAAGACCAATCAGCATATATTGGATTACCTGGATGCCAAGTTTCTTTTCTTTTTTATTATATTTAGTATTTTATTTTAACTGTTGTTCAAGTACAGTTTTCTTTTAGTCCCATCTCAGTCCACCTACACAACTTTTCCTCCCTCCCTCCCATTTCCACACTTCTTAATTTTTTTAAAAAATATATTTTATTGATTATGCCATTGCAGTTGTTCTATTCCCCCCTTCATTCCCCTCCACCCTGCACACCCCTCCCCCACCATTCTCACCCCCCTTTAGTTTATGACCACGTGTCTCAAGTTCTTTAGATTCTATATTTACCCTACTATTATTGCCCCCCATCTATTTTCTATCTACTGTCTATGCTACTTATTTTCTGTACCTTCCCCCCCTTCTCCTCCTCCCACTCCCCTGTTGCTAACCCTCCATGTGATCTTCATTTCTATGGTTCGCTCCTGATCTAGCTGTTCTTTTAGTTTGCTTTTGTTTTAGGTGTGGTTGTTAATAACTGTGAGTTTGCTGTCCTTTCACTGTTCATCTTTTTTATCTTCTTTTTCTTAGGTAAGTCCCTTTAACATTTCATATAATAAGGGCTTGGTGATGATGAACTCCTTGAACTTGATCTTATCTGAGAAGCAGCTTATCTGTCCTTCCATTCTAAATGAAAGATTTGCTGGATAGAGCAATCTTGGTTGTAGGTCTTTAAATTTCATGACTTGGAATACTTCTTTCCAGCCCCTTCTTGCCTGTAAGGTGTCTGTTGAGAAATCCACTGACAGTCTGATGGGAACTCCTTTGGAGGTGACTGTCCCCTTATGTCTTGCTGCTTCTAGGATTCTCTCCTTCATTTTAATCTTGGCTAATATAATTATGGTGTATCTTGGTGTGTTCTTTCTTGGGTCCGCCTTCTTTCGGACTCTCTGTGCTTCCTGGATTTTCTGGAAGTCTATTTTGTTTGCCAGATTGAGGAAATTATTTTTTATTATATGTTCAAATAAGTTCTCTACTCACGGCTGTTCCTCTTCCCCTTTTGGTACCCCTATAATTCAAATATTTGAGCATTTACAGATGTCCTGGAGGTTCCTAAGCCTCTCCTCATGTTTTTGAATTCTTGTTTCTTCATATTTTTCTGTTTAGTCTTTTTTTTCTTCTTTCTGGTCCACTCCCTTGATTTGAGTCCCAGTTTTCTTTCCATCACTATTGGTTTCCTGTGCATTTCCCTTTATTTCAATTAGTTTAGCCTTCATACGTTCCTCTAATTTGTGGTTAAAATCAACCAGTTCTGTGAGCATCCTGATCACCAGTGTTTTGAACTGTGCATCTGATAGGTTGGCAATTTCTTGTTCGCCTAGATTTATCGGCTTTGGGGCTCTGAGTTCTTGATCCATGTTTTGATCTGTTTTTGCCTGTTACATAGGAGGTGGGGAGCCTTAGATGTTCACCAGGGAGGGGCCACCCAGGTTGTTGGGTTGTGACGCTGTATGTGGGGATGGGGTCAGAGAGGGAGCAATAATGGTCCCCTCTGCTTTTTCCCCTTGCTGGGGCCTGCGCAGTCTGTCTCACTGCTCACTCCATTGCTGGTTTATCTGCGCACAAATGTGTGACCGCAGTCAGCCAGCTGCCTTGCGCCTTCACTGGGATTGCCCGTTGCTACCCGACACCTGAGACCCTCGCTGGCTGCCTCCGAGCCTGGGTCGGGGGATCTTTCCTGCCAGACCCACTCAGCTGCTGGCTCCGCCCCTCTTACTGATCTAGCTGAGTGGTTCCTTGTTGTCGGACTCCAGGATTGTTCAATTTTCTGTCGTTTGGCTGTGTTTTTTTTTCCTAAAACTTTGTTGTTCTTAGATTTGGTTTTGCAAGAAGGCACAGTATTTCCACCTATGCCTCCATCTTGGTGGAAGTCTCCCATCCTTCTTAGTTTTTCTCCATGTGTTTTTTATACCTGTTTTTTTAAACCTTTCCCCCTTTCCCTTGAAATTCCTTCCCATCTCTTCTCTGGTCACTGTCAGCCTGTTCTTTATTTCAGTGTCTCTGGTTATATTTTGCTTGCTTATTTGTTTTGTTATTTAGGTTCCTGTTAAAGGTGAGATCGTATGGTATTTGTCTTTCACCACCTGGCTTATTTCACTTAGCATAATGCTTTCCAGTTCCATTCATGCTGTTGCAAAAGGTAGGAGCTCCTTCTTTCTTTCTGCTGCATAGAATTTCATCATGTAAATGGACCATAGTTTTTTGATCCATTCATTTACTGATGGACACCTAGGTTGCTTCCAGCACTTGGCTATTGTAAATTGTGCTGCTATGAACATTGGGGTGCATAGGTTCTTTTGGGCTGGTGTTTTAGGGTTCTTAGGATAAAATCCTAGCAGTGGAATTGCTGGATCAAAAGGCAGGTTCATTTTTAGTTTTCTGAGAAAATTCCATACTGTTTTCCACAGTGGTTGTACAAGTCTGCAATCCACCAATAATGGATTAGGGTCCCCTCTTCTCCACACCCTCTCCAACACTTGTTGTTTGTTGCTTTGTTTATGATGGCCATTCTGACCAGTGTGAAGTGGTATCTCATTGTAGTTTTAATTTGTATTTCTCTGATAGCTAGCAATACTGAGCATCATTTCATGT